TTCTGTCCTGTGTGGGTGATTGTTCGTCGTGGTTAGATTTGTGCTTCTTATAGTTGTCAAATCAGGTTGTGTTCGCGTCATATGAATTTGATATTTATTGTAATATTAGTAAACACAATGTTACATATAACACATACATGTTAGTTGTAATTTCTTACTCAACAAACAATATAACTGTTATATACATGTTATATAATAGTTACATTGTTGAATAGGAAATTACAACTAACATGTATGTTACATGTAACATTGTGTTTGCTGGGAATATAATTTGTAAAAACGAATATTGTAATATAAATTGTAAATAGTACAACGAAAAAGCTAAAGTGGTGCGCGCGAAGCTATGTGGTGTTCTAGTAAATAATAAATTGTACACGCACGCACGCACGTATGCACTAACTCTAACGCACCTACATTAATATCGCGATAGCCGACAAATTTTACCGTTAAATAAGCGAGAAAGTTACTCACCGTCCTTCTCTTGTGAATCTTATTCTGCTTATTTTATATTTGCTTGTAATCCGCTCACTTTTCTTGCAGTCCTCAGAAAAAATATACTAGTTTGTATATTTTTCTCTTTGTATATTTGACTCTTTGTCGAATTCAGACAAGTAACGGTTTTCTTTTGTGTCTACTTTTCCTATTCCTTTCTCAGCAATTAGTTCTCGGCCTTTATTTTTCAAGCTGTTATCTGAGCTGCTTTATTACAAAGATAAAAGCAGAGGTTGTAAGTAATAGCTAATAATCCATAATAATATATAAAGAGGCAGAAACTATTGGAAAAGAAGTAACAGCAGATAAAGTGAGAAAGACAAAGAAGGAAATAATAGACAAGGAGCGAAAGGGAGACAGAACGCTAAAAGACGACGCAAACAAACAAAAAGAGATTTGAAGAGTGCTACTACCGTTATCATTGTAGAATAGAAATAGATTAGAATAAATTAATTATAAGAATTCGAGAGCTAATTTATTGAGAGAAAAACGAAAAACGAAAACGAATAAAAAAAATCGGCTTATACTGGGGTATTTAGAGTTCAAAATTTTGTACACAATAGGCTTTCAAAGTTTTTCCTTTATTTTAATGAAAATTTCGCGGATGGACGATTTGACCTTCGGAGTTTGAACCCTTTCCATTTTTGGTCTTTGTAGTTAAGTGGTTCAAGTGAAAGTTTGAAGAAAAAAAGGACAAAAACTGTAATCGCTGAAAAAAGAGTAGGAAAAGTAGACTCAAATGAAATCGTTATATGTCTGTTTGACAAAGAGTCAAATATACAAAGAAAAAAATAATACAAATAGAAAAATATACAAACTAGTATAACTTTTTTGAGGACTGCGAGAAAAGTAACGAGAATTCTCATCATCGATAGTGAAGAAGTTAATTATTTCGTACTATATCAAGTGAAGAATTTTATCGTAAGTCGCTCATTGAATGGTCACAAAATGAATCGTCAAAATTTTACGAGAAATTCAGTTGCAACTTATCGAAGATTTTCGCGAACGGATATAATTCAATAATTATTAATCTCAACAATTATTAACTACACTGTCTTTAAATATTATTTAAACTTTATAAAATTAACTAATCTCATTCAAATTCAAATAGCGTGCAGCTTTGGTAAAAATAACTTTTATTTAACAAAGACATAAGAAAACACCTGCCATATTATATACCGTAATTATATTATTTCTTTGTACTAAAATTTTTCGTATTATATCACATTGATTATTTCGTTATTATGTCGAG